GGGCACGTCATTTAGCCACTGAAACCCAGGGTATTTTGGAGATCATCTGCTTTGTCCCTGCCCATGAGTGTCTGTGTGCCTTAGCCCCCTGGGGTGCTCAGCACCTGCCTGCCCCGCTAGCGGCATCAGGACAGCCTCACTGGACCATGGCCCAGATCCCCAAAGCTGCCGGCCACTGAGAGGGCCACGTACTCACTCCTGCATTTGTGCATGCTCTGCCTGAAGCCACACCCCGCCCCCCCATCTTTCCCCACCACACACGCATCTTGACTTCCTGCCAAACTCCTCCTCAACCGTCAAGATGCAGATCAGATGTCACTGCTCTTGCTGCCTCCATCCCAGATATGGTATTTCTCCTCCACTCCCGCAGCCCCTCACGTGACAGCAGGAACAACTGGATTGTAATCATGTGAGGGTGTCCCTCTTTCATTTTGTGTAGCCCCTCCAAATCCATCTATTGTCTTTGTGGTTCCGGAGTCCACAGGCTGGCATGCCTACCTAATAGGTGTTTACTGAATGGAGAGGGCAAATGAATTAATGAACGAGCAAAAGGCGATTTTCAAGTAAACCATGGCAAGATCAGACCTGTCTTTTGAACGAAACTGGCATCCGGGAGGATGGCCCCAAGGCATTGTGGCCCAAGAGGAGAGCATTAGTCTAGTCCAGGTTAGATATAGTGGGAATCTGGTCCATCCGCTGCGAGGTGGGGGAAGGGGGCCCAAGTCCTGTGATTCCTGTGATTCTCCCTCCTCTGCTTCTCCACGTGATGTCACAGAGGCTACATGCAGGATGATAGGGGCCAGTCAGATCTGAAATATATTTATTCAGAGAAAAGATTTTTTGAACTAATTGACCATTGAGGTGATGAGGGGGAAGAAGGAGGTTAGACTCCAAGATTTCTACCTTGGGAGATGGAGGAGATGCTGCCATCATTTTGTGGAAACACAGAGAGATGGGCAGTTTTAGGGGAAAACATGGGTTCATTTTTAGAACTGTTAGGAGGGCTGTTAGAAGTAGAGGCCTGGAATGTGGGAAGGAAGTCAGAGCTGGAGATATAAATGTCATCCTCTGATTGTAGACAGCAATTTAAATAATGCATAAACTGTATCATTCATTGTGTAGAATGAGAGGGGAGAGAGCTGTGAAGAGAATCTTCATTTATTAGTCAGGGCAGGTTAACTGCTGTAACAAACAGCCCCCAAATCTCAGGGGTAAAACTCAAGAGAAGCTTTTTCCTTGTTCACATAACAATTCAGTGCTCATATGTGGAGGGTGACCTTCCATAAGGTCATTCAGGGACCCAAGCTCCTTCCATCCTGTGGCTCTGTCATTCTGGGGGAGGAGTATGGGCCAGGTCTGGAAGTGGCACATATCACTTTTACTCACATTCCATTGGAAAGAATTCAGTCACATGGTGGCTTGCATGCAAAGGAGGCTGGGAAATGTAGTTTAGTCATGTGCCCAAGAGGAAAAGAGAAACAGTCCCACTACGCTGAGGGGGCACCACAGTTTGAGGGCTGCCTGTAGGACGAAAGACCTGCAAGAGACAGAAAAGATCCTTTAAGAGAGAAACCAGGAGAAAAGAATATCTAGGGGAAAAAGGGAGAAACTGCTTAAAGAAGGGCTGTCAGGAGCGGGTCTGGACTAGAGTGAGGCAAGCAAGGTGCTGAGGTGCAACATGAGGCTTGAGAGGAAGGCCTCCTTCAGTTTTGTGCCCCAGGACACTTGCTTGCCTCACCCGAGTCCCAGTCCTGGCAGAGTCATGAGACAGAATCGGGAGAAGGCTGGGAAGAGGCCAGCGTCTGGCATTGCTGGTCCCAGGGACTTTAGCAAACAGTTCCGTTGAAGAAATGGGGTCCCCAACATTTCTGGGACAGGAAATTGCCTGATGTCCCAGTACAATGATTCACATTTTCCTGGCTTTCCTGTTCAGAAGCCTGGCTCTGATCTGCCCTTAAAGTACCTTGGGAAGAGGCAAGGGAAGGGAAGTAGAAATTCGCTGAGTTTTCTACTCTGTCACTCGCAGAGTTTTCTCACTTGTTTCTCAGTTGAAGCTGTGAGGTTGGTATTGTCCCATTTTACGGCTAAGGAAATGGAGGCACAGGAAAAGGTAAAGAGGTATCGGAGATCAAGAAGGATGGTGTTCGCTTCAGCAACACCTACACTAAAATTGGACCGGTACAGAGAAGATTAGCATGGCCCTGAGCAAGGCCTGACAAGCAAATGCGTGAAGCGGTCCATATTTTTACCTATGACCGAATCACTATGCTGTACACCAGAAACTTATACAACATTGTAAATCAATGCTACTTCAGTAAAAAAAATAATAAAAAATAAGAAGGGCGAAAGTAGGATTTTCCCAGGTCACCATCAGAAAGGCTTTCCAGTCCTCACAGGGAGCCCACCCTGGGGCAGGGCTATAGAAGGCTGGGTGTAGAAAGAAAACAGGGCCTCCACTCGGAGAGGAGAGGACTTCTGAGTCATATGACTGAGAGTCCTGGAGGCAGGAGGGAGCGCCAGAGAACCAGGGAAGGGCTGAAGGGGCTGGTCAGGCCGGCCCCTCCCTCCTATCCCTCTGGGAGCCCCACCCCCCACCCCAGCCTCCAGCCTCTCCAAACGCTAGATCGAGCAGCGGACACACCAGTCGGGCAGCTCCAAGCTGTCATGGACCCTGAAGGTAAAGGAGCCTCCAAGACCTCTCTCCCAGGTCCCTGCACCACTATCCGCCCCTCTCCGGCCCATCCCCCATCCCGACAGATCTCCTTCCCCAGCTCCCCTACCCCAAGATCAAATCTTCTCTGGTCCCCATCTACTCTCTTACCTCCCCCATCTCTCTCCAATCTCTCTGAACCCAAGCTCTTCTTTTTCCCTCCAAAGGCCTATTCTCACATTTTTTTCTCCTTGTACATCAGGTCCCCAAGTGAGCCTTGGGGAAGAAAGGGGCTTGAACCCCTGGAAACGTCAGAGTGGCCTGGAGTAGGCTGCGTCTCCTGGGGGGCTCAAGGGGCCGGGTAGTGGGAGGCTGGAGCAGCAGCAGCTCTGGACTTTGCCCAGTCACTAGCAGCTCTGGAGGGAGCGAGGCAAAGTCCTGATCTATCCGCCGCGAGGTGGGGGAAGGGGGCCCGAGTCCTGTGATTCCTGTGATTCTCGCGCCTCTGCTCCTCCACGTGTTGTCACGGAGGCTGTATGCAGGATGATAGCGGCCAGGCTCTGGAGTCAAACAGCCCCTGTTTGAATCCGGGCTCTACCTGAAACAGGCTGTGCGACCTTGAGCAAGTCGCCTGACTTCTCGGTGCCTCATTCCCTAGCCTCTGCAAAGTGACAGTTATAGTTCCCTGCTCACCAGTCTAGGGGGTGGGGAGGACAAATGACAAAAAGCATGGAGGGCTCCTGCTAGTTTCACGGTCCCCTTCCTGAGCTTCTTCCCTAGCTCTGACCTCGCTGCCTGAATCTGGGGCTTCCACTGGCTCCACGCACCCTGCCCCTCTGGCGTGGCTGTGGAACCAGCTCTTGGGAGTCCAAATGGGTTCTTGGTTTAGAAATGATCTCAGAGTCTGAGCCTGGGTTCAAGTCCCATCCCTGCCATCTGCTAATTGTGTGACTGGACAAGATGCTTATTCCCTCACTGTGTTTTTCCTCACTGATAAAGTGAAAACAGTGTCTTGGGTTGCAGTGAGGATTAAATAAGATACCAGTGCCTGGCACAGAAATCACTCGGTGTAGTTAAGTTGGTGACGGTGTTGGTTCCTCAGGTCCACCTCTCCAGCTCTGAGCCCTCCCCAGATTCCAGGT